TATCTGGAGGGGACACATTCCAGCACATCCAGCTGTCTGCAAGTCATGCAATGAGCTCCAGATTTCCAGCTATTGTGGGTTTTCACCCATAATGGGGTGGGCTTCAGTGATGCAGCTGTCTTTGAATAATTTCTGCACCTCTAAGTAACCCCAATAAAGCTGATTGGTTCACCAAGTTGGACTTTGGTGGTATCTTTAATTTGGTCTGTCATTGGTTTCCTATCTGGAGTGGTACATGTTTGCTCACGTATGCACAGGAACAGTGTCACACAACACTATCATGTACATTCGATAGCATATGCCCGTGGAAGTCTATTGGCATCACAGTACACCTAATATTTTATACATAGTTATACTATAGCATTTAGGAAATGACAAGAAAATTCTGGGGACTGGAGAGATGGTTCAATGGGTAAGAGCACTGCTACCAAATTTGAGAAACTGGGCTGAAATCACCAGCACCCACCCAGAAAACTGTGTGTGGCCATGTGTGTGCATGCCTGCAACCCTAGTGCTTTGTGTGTGTGTGTGTGTGTGTGTGTGTGTGTGTAAGGGGCACAGTGGAGACAGGAGGAACATTTGGAGCTTGCTGACCACTAGCCTAGCTCTAGATTCAGGAAGAGACAGTGTCTCAAGAAATAAGTGGATGGTAATGAAACAAGACACCTGATAGTCTTCTCTGGTCTTTTCGAGTGCTCATCCAGCATGTGAAGTCACCATACACGTATGCACATGCCATATACACATACTTACACACATGAAAATGTCTGCCTGTGTTCAATAATAATGTGGTATTACCAATAAGTTTTTATTCAAAGTTAGTTGAATAGATGCAGAACCTGTAGATAAGAAAACCCAACTACATTTGATAATTCTGTGTGTGTGTGTGTGTGCTTGTCTGTGTCAATGTGTAGAGGCTAGAAGTTAACACCGGGATGTCTTTCCCAATCACTTCCCTCTCACTGATCTTCAAGCTTGCTTTTTGGCTAACCTGGTTGAATAGTGAGGCCCTAGATCTCCCTGTCTCTGGGTGCAGCACTGCCATACTCAGCTTTCCTATGGGTTCTGAGAATCGGAACCAGGACCTCATGTCTGCGGCAATCAGTTACCTACTGACCTATCTCTCTAACCCTCCAAACTCTTTTTTTTTTAAAAAACATTTTATTTATTATGTATACAACATTCTGCCCGCACGCCAGAGGAGGGCGCCAGATCTCAGTACAGATGGCTGTGAGCCACCATGTGGTTGCTGGGAATTGAACTCAGGACCTCTGGAAGAGCAGCCAGTGCTCCCAACCTCTGAGCCATCTCTCCAGCCCCAAACTCTTTTTTCTTATTTTGAAAATAGGTTCTTTCTGTGAGTTTGAGGTCAGTCTGGTCAACAAAGTGAGTTCCAGGATAGCTAGGGCTGTTACACAGAGAAACCCTGTCTCGAAAAAATCAAAACAAACAAGCAAATGAAAATAGATTTTCTTACATAATATATCCTGATTGTGGTTTCCCTCCTTCTACTCTCCCCCATCTCCCTCAATCAAATCCACTCCCTTTATCTCTCATTAGAAAAGAACAGGCTTCTAAAAGACAACAACCAAACATGACAAAATAAAACATAAAACAGAAACCATCACATTGAGGCTGGGAAAAGAATCCCAACAGAAGGAAAAGAGCCCCAAGAGCAGACACAAGAATCAGAGACCCACTTGATTCACACACTCAGGAGTCCTGTAAAAATACTAAGCTGGAAGCTATAATATATACTCAGAAGACCCGGTACAGACCTGGGTTGGCCTTGTGCTTGCTGCTTCAGGCTGTGGGTTCATAGGAACCCTGTTTAGTTGATTTAGAGAGCCTTGTTCTCCTGGTGTGCTCCATCCCCTCGACTCTTAAATCTGTCACCTCTTCCACAGGATACTCTGAGGGGAGGGAGTTGATGGAGACATCCCATTTAGATGTGTGTTCCAAGGTCTCATTTTCTCTGAAAAGTGTTATTTTCTCCACCTAGTGACTGAAAGTGTTTCTGGGTATAGTAGTCTGAGATGGAATCTGTGGTGTCTCAGAGCCTGTAGCATGTCTGTCCAAACCCTTCCAGCTTTTGGTGTCTCCACTGAGAAGTCAGGTGTAATTCTGATAGGTCTGCCTTTATATGTTACTTGGCCTCTTTCTTTGCAGCTTTTAATATTCTCTTTGTTCTATACATTTAGTGTTTTGATAATTATGTGCCAAGGGAACTTTTCTAGTTCAATCTATTTGAAGTTCTGTATGCTTCTTACACCTTTATAGGAATCTCCTTCTTAGATTAGGAAAGCTTTTTTCCTGTGATTTTGCTGAAAATATTTTTTGGAGTCTTTGAACTGAGATTCTTCTCCTTTCTCTATTCCTATTATTCTTAGATTTGGTCTTTTTATAGTGTCCCAGATTTTTGGATGTTTTGTGTCAGTGTTTTAGATTTAACATTTTCTTTGGCCAATATATCCATTTCTTCTATCATATCTTCAATGCCTGAGATTCTCTCTTCCATTGCTTGAATTGACAAATCTTTAGTGTACAAGACCATTGTCCCACAGCACAGAATTGCTTCATTTTGGGTTTTCTTTATTGATTTGATTTCCACTTTCAGATTTTAAATAGTTAGGTTCATTTTCTTCCACTGTTTGCTTGTGTTTTCCTGTATTTCTTTAAAGAATTTATTTATATCCTTTAAGGACCTCTATCATCCATCTCCAGATAGAGAATTTTAAGGATTTTTTTTCCCCTGTGCTTCAGCTATGTTAGAGTTGGAGTATTCAGGGCCTGCTGTGGTAGGATAGCTGGGCTCTGTGGGGATATATTGCCTGGCTAATATTATTGTTTTTACAGTGGCCTCTAGGTATCTGGAATTGGGATGACTATAAGTCTAGGTGCTGGTTTCTGGATTTGTTTCTTTTGGGTGAGTACTTTGTCCCTTGGTTTCTATTTTCTCTCTGTAGAGCATCCTATGTCTTAACAATGGGTTTCCTCTAAGATGGACAGGAAGATGCTACACAACACGTGGACGTCAGAGGACAACTTTCCAGGAGTTGCTTCTCTGCTGCCTCATTGAGGCAGGGCGTTTGATTGTTTCTGCCACTTGTGTACCCCAGCCCAGCTGGCCCACAGGCTTCCTGGTGACTCTCTGCCTCCTGGTGCAGCCCACCATCAGCCCCAGCTTTGGAATTTTGAGGTGTGTTAAGTCTGGGGTTCAGGGTCACATGAATAGACAAGAACTATCTTGATAACACAGCCATGTACCAAGATACTGTGATGGTGAGTCTTATCACCTTGACAGGATCTGGAATCTACTTAAAGACATGTCTTTGGTTGATCTATGAGAGCATTTCCAGAGTGGATTAGACCCTTCTCTAGAGTGGGCAGAACCTTCTAGCTGCAGCCTAGATGTAAAAAGATCCGAGCAAAAGTCCATCTTGCCTGCCTAGGTTCTTGCTGGTGAGCGTATTGCATCCACCGCCGCTGTTGCTGCTGCCGCCCTCCCTCCCACTCTGTTAGGGCCACCGGAGTCTCCTAGGCCATCAGTGCCAGGCTGGGACTCCAGAGACGTCTGGTTTATGGACTGAGCAGCAATCAGGTTCCTAGCCTCTCTAGCTTATACACGACCACTGACAGCTTGCTCACCCCTGTTGTATAATAAGCCACCCTAGTGGTCCCATTTAATTATGCACATTCTGTTCCGTTACTCTAGAGAACCCTGCCTAGAGTAGAGAACTTGCTGTGTAAGTGTATGGATCTGAGTTCAAATCCCCAGCACCCATTTACCTCCTTTTTTCAACAGCAAAGATCCTTCTGCATCCTATTCATTTCTTAAGTGTTTGGAGGGACTCCCTGCAGGTAAGCAGACTGCAGGTCTCATCTCCCTCTGTTTCTTGAGACCCAGCTCCCCAGTCTGATCCCAAGCTCTGCCACAGAAATCCTGCTACAACCTTCCCTGCCCCCTGCCCTTCACCCTAACCTAACTCCAGCTGGCATACATCCCCTGCTAACTCAAAGGCCACTCCTTTCAGGGAAGCAGGCTGACTTCAGATCTCTCCTTCTGCCTCTCCATACCCAGCCCCCTCAGTCTCATCCCCAACTCTGTAGCAGAACATCTGCTGCTGTCTCCCTTTCCTCTCCAACTCCATCTCCAAGGACCACAAAGACTATCTCCAACCTTCTTTCCCCAATTCATCCTAGTATCCCAGCCTCCAACACCAGCAGGCATTCCCTGAGCCTCAGGGCCTGAAGGCATACCTCTTCAGACCCCTAGCCTGTCCCCAGTCTTAAGAGTCAGCTCCCAATATCCAGAACCCCTAGTGACCACAGCTACCGGGTCCAAAGAAAATTTCCCACCAGGCAACACCCAGCCCCGACTTTGATGGTGTCCTTTCTGTGGTCTGTCACCGGTTCCCTGACTTTGATGGTGTCCTTTCTGTGGTCTGTCACCGGTTCCCTGACTTTGATGGTGTCCTTTCTGTGGTCTGTCACCGGTTCCCTGACTTTGATGGTGTCCTTTCTGTGGTCTGTCACCGGTTCCCTGACTTTGATGGTGTCCTTTCTGTGGTCTGTCACCGGTTCCTTACCTGAGGTAGCATATGTCTGTCATTAGATCACAGAGCCTAAAGTAGTGAGTTTATCCTATCTCACAAATGACCACAGTTGCTAACTGGCACAAAGATTATAATTCCCATCAAAACTTACTCTGATGATTTGGGACATGTTTCAGAAGATTGCTTCAAGTAAAAAGTCAGAAATACAAGACATAAAAACCATCAGAGAGGTTTTTTCTTTTAAAAAATGTTACAAAGACAGCTATTCTTTTTAAAGAATACTGTACAGTTTTTTTTCTAAACCAATGGAACTATACCATTGAACACCCTGGGAGAGTGTGGGGACCCCTTCATGTTTATACATCCTCATAAAAACATGCAATGTCTACCTTAAATACTCTTAGCATTTATGCTACAGACAGAAAAAGTTAAAAAAATTTCCTGTGTAGTTCATTCAATAAAGAGAATTTATTAAGACTAAAAATCAGTTTAAAAATTTTGAGGCAAGCTAAATATTAGCTACAGTCATAGAATACATAGCAACTTATTAGTAATAGTACAAGTTGAACACACCTGACCTCAAATCCAAAATGCTTCAAAATTCAAACCTTTTTAGTGGTATGAGCAGGCAGATAACTGCACAACTGGCCTGGACAAAGAGGTCTGTTAAATCTCAGGCACACTAAAAGCACTGGACACTTCCAGCTATGTGTACACGGCAGTGCACGTGATGCATAAAGGAGTTCAGCTCTATTTGGGTCCCACACCCAAGCTCTCTCTCTTGTGCCTAAGGGTTTGTCTCACCAGCGGTTCAGATCTCTAATCATGTGCAGAAGCTCACTCTACACGGCAGGAGTGCATGCTCATCCCTACGGCCCCAGTACCTGATGGGCAGCAAGACTGCAGCTACAAAGGGAGGAGGAGCCGGGCGGTGGTGGCGCACGCCTTTAATGCCAGCACTCGGGAGGCAGAGGCAGGCGGATCTCTGTGAGTTCGAGACCAGCCTGGTCTACAGAGCTAGTTCCAGGACAGGCTCCAAAACCACAGAGAAACCCTGTCTCGAAAAAACCAAAAAAAAAAAAAAAAAAAGAAAAAAAAAGAAAGGGAGGAGGGCGGAGCAGAAGGAAACACTTGTCTGAAACAGAGAAATTTATGCCAAGTAAGAATCATGAGATACTGGTGGTTTTATGTGACTTTCTCCCTCTTTTCCAGTGATTTTACTGACAACCACTGAATGTCTCAAATTTCTAGGTAAAATCCTGGCTTTTCCAGAATGCTCTGGTGACACAAAGGCAGAAAGCAAGCTGAGAAGGCAAAGAGAAAGTCCAGAGAGAAGGCCAGAAACTTAGTTAAGTCACAGCATGGGGATAAGAGGCCGCCTTTCCACGTTTACTGCCACTGGGCCAGCAGGGGCTTAGGGGGCTTCTGTGGGGCGGGAGGCTGCTGGGTGGTGGGCACAGTGCAGGACACTGGAGACCAGTACACACCCAGTCTGACCTCCTCTCTCACATGGCAGCCTCCCCACCCTGCTTTTCTGTCACTTCTGTTGCTGGCTGTTACACTGCTCCTATGCCACTTCTTGGGGTAATTACATGCAAATAAAGAACATTTTCTTTTTTAAAACAATGTTAAAGAAAAGTAATTCTTTGTACTGGAGATTCTAGGTGTGTCCTACAGGCACCTGTTTAAGTTTTTCTCGAGATCAAACCAGATACAGTTAGACTTAAACTCCCCCAACTTTGAACTGCTGAGAAGATATCACTTCTCTGAACACAGTTCACAAGTGTTACGTGTTGAAACCTGTGGGATTTGTAAAGCTATACAAAAGGCACTACCATGTTATAGACTCACATGTCATCACAGACCAATGTCTGAAGGATCACAAACTCCATTAGGGCCTTCACTATAGTCTGTCCTCACCACAACTGAGAAACAAGTATGCTCTCTTGCATTGAAAAAGTATTAGCGGTAAAACAAACAAAACTTAATGCTTCCTGAGCAGTCCCTAGCATTCCTTCTACGCTGGTGTGTTTAAAAGCTGTTCTTCTTGAAGCTTCGATTTAAACTCTTCTCTGATTCCCTCCAGCAACTCAGGTTTAAAGATGGCGTCCAGTGCAGTCATGGCCAGAGCTTTGGCTGTACGCAAGGTGTACAGCTGAGCTTCTTGTGATCCTAGAAGGTAGAGAAAACAAATTAAATACCTTTCCCTATACTACGATGCATTCATTAATTCCACATATTACCTCCTGAAACTGCCTCTCCTACTTCTGAGCGATGTTAGAGGGAGAGCCGTGTGTTCACGCCTCGTGCTCACCTGCAGCTTGCGTGTACTGTTCCGTATGATTCAAGGCATCGGTCCCAATGTAAAAATAAGGGTGAATCCCAGGAACCACAAAGCTGACATTTCCAAAATCAGTAGAGCCTTGGAACAAAACAAGGAAGGAAAGGATGAAATGAATGAGCAGCCTCCTCCAACGAGGAGTGTTAGTGGGACAAGCCTAAGCTAAGGCCAAGCATTTGTAATTAATAATAAGTCTCCGTATCTTTATATGGGAGCTGGTTGGCAGTCCAAAAGTAAATGCCTACTACAAAAATATGCCTAGCAGAATGAACATTTTTTAAAAACAATGTTGCTATTTTAACACTCTACACTCATTGAACCATTTATTAGTTTCTTTTCAACCTAAGTGTAAAGGAATATCATTAAAAATATCATCAGGAAATGGCTAAGATCAAAATCACTGATGTCAACTTATAATGGAGAGGTTGTGGGGTAAAGGCAACACACCTCCATTGCTGGTGGGAGTGCACACTGGTACAGCCCTTTTGGATATCAGTATGGCAATTTCTCAGAAATTAGGAAACAACCTTCCTCAAGACCCAGCAATATCACTCTTGGGTTTATACCCAAAGGATGCTCAATTGTACCACAAAGAAATATGCTCAACTATGTTCATAGCAGCATTATTTGTCATAGTCATAACCTGGAAAAACAACCTAAATGTCCCTTAACCAAAGAATGGATAAGGAAAATGTGGTACATTTACACAATGGAGTACTACACAGCAGAAAAAAATAATGACATCTTGAAATTTGCAGGCAAATGGATGGATGGATCTAGAAAACATCATATTGAGTGGGGTAACCCAGGCCTAGAAAGACAAATATCGTATGTACTCACTCATAAGTGGCTTTTAGACATAAAGCAAAGAAAAACCAGCCTACAAATCACAATCCCAGAGAGCTTAGACAACAATGAGGACCCTAAGAGAGACATACACGGATCTAATCTACATGGGAAGGAGAAAAAGACAAGCTCTCCTGAGTAAATTGGGAGTGTGAGGATTACGGAAAGGGTAGCAGAGGAGACTGTAGGGAGGGGAGCAGAGAAAAATAATTGCTCAATCAAAACAATTAAAAAAAATATCATCATGGAGATGGAAAGATGGCCCAGCAGTTAAGAGCATTTTCTGCTTTTGCAGAATACCCAGGCTTGGGCTTCAACACCCACATGGTAGCTCCTAATTGCCTGTAACTCCAGTTCCAGAGAATACAATGCCTTCTGCTGGCCTTCAAGGGCACCAGGTAAGCTGATGGTATGCACATACCTATGCAGGCAAAATACTCATTATTATAGTTGGCAGTGTGCCTGCTTAACATACACGAAACCTGGGTTCAATCCCCAGCATCCAATAAACCCGAGGTGTGGTAGCACGGGTTTATAATCCCTGAATTTGGGGAGCAGAGGCAGGAGGGTCAAGATCAAGTCAGTGTCAGCTATGTGCGGAGTTTGAGGCCAGCCTGGGCTACACCAAGGCCCTGCCTGAAGCAGACACACCAGCAGCTCTTCCTTACTCCTGAAGACTGCCCAACCTAAGCTGGCATTTCTCCTGTTCAAACAGCTCACTCTACGGCGGCTTAGGTACCTGAAGGGCCATTCAATACTGCATCTTCTGAGATGAAGTCTATGCCCAGTTTCTTCCCATTCTCCACATATGCACTGCACAGTGTCTTATTGGGAAGAACATTGTAATAATCATGTGCTTCACTTTTAATTTCCACCTAATAAAAAATGACAAAACAGAGCTAGGGATTAAAAACTCAAATTCACGAAGTCCAAAACAGTGATGGTTTCCAACAGAAAAAGTTTCAGAACGGGCACTTTTCATCCCAGTTATAAAACCCAACAAACAGTGCGTTATCAAGTTAGAGCTCCTAATGCCCCATTTCCTCTGTTACAAAAGCACCACACCATAGACTGTCACTAAACTCCATCCTGGCCAGCAAGAATCAACTTCAGTCACCTAAAAAGGTCATCGTGAGTACCCAGAAACTTCCATTTTAAAACCTGAACCTCCAGGCAATTCTGATGCAGGTAATCCAAACCACTCTGATGGACACTGCTTATACTTCAGTCTCCAAAAAGGAGAAGGCGGAGCATCTAAACAACTCAACACACTTAACACGGAACTGTCCCTGATGTCACAGCCTCGTTTCAAAGGGACCCTCAGAGATTACAGACACTTAGGGAGGCAGGCTCACAATGAGCCTTGCTTATAGATTGAGTACATGAAGACACAGAAGCAGGTTTACATGAGTGCATAAGCGCACTTAACAGTTTATTTTCAATAAGCAAAAACTAATTACCAAACAGCAGAGATCAAATTTCTTCTATTCTTGGCAACATCTAAGATAGGAATAAATAATGGCAACCCAATTAAATTTTACACATCAGCCAAAATATAAACTAGTAAAAGACTACTTAAATATAGATTTAAATCCAACCGTAAATCCTATTATTTTTTGGCTGCATGTGAAAGACAAAAGGACAAGCTTAGGTGACATTCATCGGGAGCCCATCCTCTTTGGGTTTTGAGATAGAGTCTCCCTCTCCTTTCGCCTGGAGCTCACCAAGCAAGGAAGGCTGGCTGGCTAGTGAGCACAGAAATCTGCCTATCTCTGCCTCTCAGAGCTGGGATTGCAAGTGCACTATACCACAGCTGCCGCTGGTTCTAGAGATCAAACCAGGTCCTCAGCTTGCAATGTAAGTGTTTTGCTGAGTCATCTCTCCAGCCCTTAACTCCTTAGCTTAGGGAATATCCTGATATTAACTAAAGATAGTTTACATATCTAACTTTAAAAATATTTAAATTATTTACAGTTATAAGGGAATAAGTGTTTAGCTTTCCTAGGTTGTGGAAGCTTTACAGTTGCACACTAAATCTCTTTGCCAATAGCCTAAGAGGATATGTCCTCACTGCCACACTTAGCCATGTATTTATCTAGATCTCTCTGTTGTTCATATATCTGGAGTATGATTATCCTTCAAAGCTCAATTAGTCTGCAGTCTTCCAGGAAACCTTCTCCTTCCATCCCACCAACTGGGAATGGAACCCAGGGGCTTGTGCTTGTCAGGCTAAGCTATAGTTCCCACCCTGAAACTTTACCTGCTCTGTTCCTCCCAACAGTGTCTGCTTCTGAGACAGGAAGTACAGACTACAACGATAACTGCAGAGACACTCCTACCATGCAAACAAGCCGTGCACTGCCAGGCCAAGGACAGACCCAGGAAGGCTGGGCTGGGCCTCTTCACAGATGCTATTTCATTTGTCTCCCTCCAGAAACCTGGGGAGATTTCAATATTACCCCTATTTTTGAGAGAGAGAAACAGCCCCAGAGATACTGTTTCTCATGGCCGAGACACAGGAGCTTGTTTCTCTCTAAAAACAACATCTAAGATCTTATCTCTCCAACCCGACTGCAATATCTGAACTTCATCCCCTGTTGCAGCCCCAACAGCTGATACTGAAATGTTTCTGAGTTACGATTCTAGTCAACAAAATCTCCTTTGTTCTGAGTCTGTGTTAACTTCCATCCCAGCAAGCCAAACACACACTTAGCCCAATGCTTTGCCAAAGAGACACACAGATACTGTCATAAAGTGCCCTATGTGAGAACTACACAAAGTGATGTAAGAGGCAGGGATTCTAGCACAGTGATTTGCTAAGCCCTCTAGCTACTGTCTAAGTAAGGTGACTTGTAGTTTTCTCTATTGCAGACACTTAAGAAAATGCACAAGAATTAAATATTAAATTAAAAATTAATTAAATATTAAATGTTCATTAAAAAATTTCACATTAAAAATCTAGCCAACTCATTTTACAGGTTTAAGACATCACCAGTGAGGGCAAGGCCCTGAGACAGATTCCCAGCACCACCACCGGCCCAAACAAAAACCACTGCACGGAATAGAAGCAAAGCAGGGTTTAATGCAGCAGCGCAAACAGCACGGTCCACTGTAACTGACCATAATTCACTCTGAAAAGCTCTTACTGTGCAGCCTGTAGCCAAAGCAGCAGCTCTGAAGGAATCTTCTGCCCTTTTGGTCAGAACCTGAAGCTCTTTCATTGAGGGTGCACGGAAATAATAGATTAATTCAGAGTAAGAGGGGATGATGTTGGGCTTTACACCACCATTTTTTATTATACCTATAAAAGAACCACATTACTGAGGTTAAATTTGATGATCTGTTTAAAGAAAGTTTTGTAGCCCTTACAAAAAGGAAATTAATTTATACATAATTGATACACTGTACAACACTTCCACAGAGAGGAGTTATTTCCCAGATAATAAGGGGAAATCGTCTATATGTACTTTATTCTAAGGAATCACAATCTGGGCTGAGGGTAAAGTTCAAAGACAGAGCACTTCCCTATCATGCGTGTGAGTCGGGTTTAATTCCAAGAACTGGAAAGAAAGAAAAAAAAGAGGTGAAGAGAGAAAGATGATAATCTAAATTATAAAGAAACACAGACTTTTATAGCCACAAAACAGACAGTAGTATCTTTGTTGTTGTTTGAGACAGGGTTTCTCTATGTATCTCCAGCTGTCCTGGAATTCACTCTGTAGACCAGGCTGGCCTCAAACTCAAAAGAGCTCCTCCACCTGCCTCTGCCTCCCCGAGTGCTGAGATTAAAGGCGTGTGCCACCACTGCCCAACCTGGCAGTAGTTTTAAACTTTCTGAAGGAAATTTATCTCAGTAGGCTTTATTATAGTTGTGATTTGATAAACTTTTGACATAATCTTTTACAGTTGCATGAGGCTCTGTAACCGTCATCCTATTTGAAAAATCTTACCAATATTTTAAATGACACTTAGCAGTGGAGAAATAATTTTCACACCAATCTACTACACTTCTACAATCACTTCTCAGCCTTTTGGCTGTAATCGTGTATAAAAACAAAAACTGAACAAAGACTCCTAAATACTACAAACTATCAAAACACACATTTGGGACAACACAAAATCAAGATTTATTTGTTTCTACCAGTAACTAAAACAGATATATACAAACTAATTCCAGATAATTGTGAAACTCTATAATCCTAATACTTGAAGAAGCAAGAATATCATGAGTTCAAGGTAATCCTTGGTTATAGCCTGGGCTATAGGAGACCTCTTCTTAAACGTGTGGGGGGGGAGAGGGAGAGAGGGAGAGAGAGAGAGAGAGAAAGAAATACAGAGAAACTGAATTCTCCATTAGCTAATTCACAATTTTCCACTCTAATCCCTTTGGAGGGAATTAAGGTAAGCAGTGAGATGGGCTAGGCCAGTATGCAGTACGTGTACAGGCTGCTAACGCAGGGCTGCCTGAATATAAGGGCGCCCTAGACTACACAGTGAGAGCCTATCTCAGACCAACTGCTACCCACACCAGGAAAAAATTAAGACAAGAAAGTAGCAAAAGCACAATTACAAAACGATTTTACATATAGCAAAAATGGGTAAAGAATAGAGATTTACTAGATTATAAAGAAATAAACTGAGAAAGGGAAGGAGGAAGGGAGGAAAAGAAAGAAAATTTTAAATCAGTATGGTAGCTCAGACTGGGAAGGAGGAAATGTGTACCCCTAAGAGAAGACCATGCTACTATATTTATACACACAGAATTCGAAGAGTGTACTATACTAGTCCCTGAGTAAATACAACTAGCAACTGCTATTTTTTTCTCTTTTGAGAAAGGATCTCAGTTATCCTAAGCTGCCCTCATATCCACCTGTAGCTGAGGATGATGTGGTTCCAAGTACTGGAATTCCAGGTATGACACATGCCAGGTTTTACGTAGTGCTGGGAATCATACCCAATGCACACTGCATCCTAGGTGAGCATTCTAACAACTGAACTACATCACCAGCTCCCAATTTTTGTTGTTTTTCAAGAAAGGGTTTCTCTGTGTAGCCCGGGCTGTCCTGGAACTCACTCTGTAGACCACATTGACTTTGAACTCAGAGATCCACCTGCCTCGGCCTGCTGAGATTAAAGGTTTTCACCACCACTGCCTGGCTTCCAACCCCCGATTTAAAATAAAAAAAATCTAGTATTAAACAATTTCACTGCACTGAGATATAATTTACTATACAAACATTTGGCACATATACCATGAAGTCTCCAGGTTGGTTTCATCTGTTGTCTTAATGCAGAGAGGTTGTTATAGGCAAGGACTGCAGCATCTAAGGCATTCACTCCCTCCCAAGGGTAAGCAGCAGCGTGAGACGCCTTCCCATAGTATTTCACAGTAACACTAGGAAATAGAAGGAGAAATCACTGGAAATTACTTCCCCCATCATCATTAACATAAGAAACCCCAGGATGTGGTGTGTGTGTGTAGTGTAGTGTAGTGTAGGTATTAACAAAGATATAACTCAGCTGGTAGAACACTTGCAGCCCAGGGCTCAATCTCTGGCACAGTGGTGTAAACCTGTTATCCCAGCACTAGGAGGCAAGAGGATCAGAAGTTCAAGATCATCCCCAGCTATACAGCAAATATGAGGTTAGCCTAGGCTACATAAGATTGCTTAAATGAAAAAACAAAGTAAAGCTGGTCTGGGAGCATAGCTCAGATGGCAGTGTTTATTCTAGCATATATAATGTCTGAGGCTCATTCATTCCCCAGCACCATACAAACAGGACATGCAGGTTCACTCTGCAGTACCAGCATGGGGTAACAGAGGCAGAAGAATAGGAAATTCAAGGAAAGCCTCAGTTACACAGTGGATTCCAGGCAAGCCTGGGGCTATACATCAGACCATAACTGAGGGGGTGGGGTGTGTGGAGCCAAGTGGATTGACTTTAATATCAAGACAATAAAACCTATATCTAATCCTAACAGTCTAGGAAACCTGCCTACAGCTTGCAGGCTCCCTCCAGCCAGAAGTGCAGGCAAAGATTTGTAATCTCTATTATTTTCCAGAAATACAGATAAAACTATCTCCACCCCCTCCACACAAAGTGAAATGTTTCTACTCTCACAGTACTAATTCTAAATTGATAATGAAGAAAGATAGCACAACGACAAGATTACTGCCCTCTGAAAACAAGGTCTGGTAGGCTCAACGACTCTGCAGGGAAGTTCTACTGCCACTCCCCAGAGTCTCCGCCACACAGAAATCAGCCGACACAGTCTAGCAGGGGCTCCTAGGGCCTGGACCACTGACCACACCACAACTACTCTCACTGTCGTCTGTGGTCCAATGCCACGTCCTTCTACATATAAAAGACTAACCTCCTCCAGTTCCATAAAACCAAGCTAAAAACAGTATGGAGAAGGGCTTTCTTCCCAGGTCCAGTAAACCATCCCTTGTACAGACAACTCCTTATGAAGGGACAACTGTATTCCAAAAACCAGACTGAACTTAAAAGAGAACACTGTGTTTGGTACCCCTGTTTAATACCCCTTTAATAGTTCGACTATGACCATGATAACAAATCACGATTGCCAATGTAGGACAAACGTCACATCATTATTGCTCAGTCCACAGGTGAGATCACAGGTGAGTCGCATCACGCTCAGGTCATTTCACTTTTTAAATGTATAAATGCAGAGTGTTAAGAGTCTGGCTCCCTTTCCTTTTCTTTTTTAAATTCTGTCTGTGTTGATGGGGGAGTGGGCTAAGCATGCAATGGGGTACCCGCGGAGACCAAAGGACAGCTCTTAACCCGAGGTGGGCTCTGACAATAGAACTTGGGTTGCCATGCTCACCTGATGAGTGCTTTTACCCACTAATCCATCTCGCTGCCCTAGTTTTGAGTACTCTTCAGTCTGCTGTCCACCAAGAATGTATCTTCAATGTGACTACTCACTCATGCTCGGCCACGTCCAGTAGATAGGCGGCATCCTCTTGAGATGGATGAGCCATAAAAACAACATCGAGATCTTTAAAAGCACCTGCTTCAATTAAATCGATTTTGCCACCACCTTCTTCCTCTGCAGGGGTTCCCAAGACAATGACCTATAAGGAAATATATATGTTAGCACAAAGAGACTCGTAACAGAAAAAACATTATATAGTGCATACTTAGAATGTATATACTTAAGTCCTTAAACCCTTAAGAGAAGTTATTTTCTCACACACAGTAAATATCACAAAGTTCAATTTGTATCATTATAGTAATCTGGTATAAATGCATGCTAGAAATGCTACAGGAAAATTTCCCCAATTTTATAACTCAATTTTAACTAAGTTATAGCAAAGACAAAAAAAAAAAGGATTCTATGTGCATAGGTTCTTCAACATTAGCTAGGACTCATCTGTTACAGTCTCTTCAAGCTAAGCCTGTTAGCATACTATGTGATAGGTAGATAGTTAGTCATAGCTTGACTGGTAAGGAGCTTGCATGTGACCTGTGACCCTCCCCTCACAACATCCCTGTGAGGTTGGTGAGCAGTCTGGACCGGTTCCGGGAGGTTTAGGCTTCCTGACTGCAATTATCTTAGATAGCTGCCCTGGCTTCAGCTAACTCTCACTCCTTACTGGCAAACTTAGAAAGGCCTAGCTCATTAAGCCTTCATTGTTGAGCATTAAACAATCTCAGTACCATGGTTAGAAACCGCCAGCTATTACACAAACTTACTAATTCGATTCCACCAGTTCAACCAGGAAGATTTAATGGTCACCAAACACCTAATCAAACAAAAGAGAACTTTACAGAATAAACATTTTACTTTGATATGTAAATTAACTTCTTCAAGCAATTTTTTTAAGCAAAGACAAATTATCTTCATAAAATGAATGTATTCTCAAGACCATGTATAAAAATACAATGAAACAAGTTGATTTTTTTTTAAAAAAAAAGGCTTTATGAGCAAAGGGAATCCACTTACAATTTTCTGATAGGAGAGGAACCTTGCTGAGAACAACCATTTGAAGTTGGCATATTTCTCAAATCTGGTTGTATTTATTTTTAAATTTATAAAGTATCGAAATTCTTAAATTGAGCTGCTTTGGGGTAGGGGGAAGGGTTGAGACAGTCTCTCCCCATGTCCTGGAGCTCATCTGTAAACCAGGCTTAACTCAGAGGTCCGTATAGCTTGCACCACCACGCCTGGCGACTGAGCTGCTCCTACTCCGAACCTAACGGGCCTTATGACTGCTGCGAACTTTTTTCTAAGTCGGCCCAGGGTCTCAAACCCTCCCCAACAAGACAAAAACCCAGAGGCATAAAAGAGAAGGTAGCTAAAGAAAAGAGCCACAAGAGATTAAGCCAATAGAGGATTACTGGCCATGGAGGTGGTGTGGGGGACCCGGCTGAGTGACAGCCGGTTCTTGGCTCACAGAATGAATAACTAACTATACCATCTGAGGAGTAAGAGGGCAGACCGGCATGACATTCTGCTTCAAGAACCAAGACGCCTCTTGTAATTGTGAGATAAAGATCAACACTTAAATATGACCCCATCTACGTAATAAATATTTATTCGCTTCTTCGTTATTTCTACTCTTGCAGAAGTTTGGTAGTCTGGTAGTTCCAAAGACTAAGATTTACTATGCAAATACCAATTACTCAAATCAAAATCCTTTTTTTTCTTCTTTTTTCTTTTCTTTCTTGAGTCTACAAAATTTTACTTTGTCCAGAGCTCGCACAGCCTAGTCAGCAAACTGCAGCTGTGTGCCACCAAAAACAACCGGGGCGGTGCTCCGAGCTGGGTCCGCACAGACACCGCTGCAGCCCCGTGTGGCTCACCTTGACAGGCGGTGGCGCGGCGACGCCCTCGAGGGCAGCCCGCAGGCCCAGAGCAGCAGCCACCCCGACCTCCGCGATGAGGTTGTGACCGCAGGCGTGGCCCAGGGCGGGCAGCGCGTCGTACTCGCACAGGAAGGCCAGCTGCAGCGCGCCGGGCCCCGTGGCGGCCTCCGGCGGCGCCCACTCGGCACGGAAGGCGGTGGGGAGCCGGAAGTGCGGCTGCACAGCCCACGACCCCGCCGGAGGCTCGCGCTCGAAGAAACTCGTGAGCTCGCCGTGCGCGCGCTGCTCCTCGTAGGCCAGCTCGGGCGCGCTCCAGATGGCGCGGCTCAGCGCGCCTAGGCGCTCGGCCGCCTCGTCGATGCGCTCCGCGGCGCGCTGCTTCAGCCGCTCCAGCTCGGCGACGCCGCTCGTGCCCGCCTCAGCCGCCGGCCGCTCAACCACCGGACCCATGGCGCTCTACCCAGGTCAGCTCTCAGACAGGTTCGTCAGCGCTCGGAGGCCCTCGGAAACACTCGGCGGTCCTCGTCAGTCCTCGGCAACGCTCGGCGCCTCGGCAGCACGCAGTGGCTTCGGCAGCACGCAGTGGCTTCGGCAGCCTGCGTCCGACTAACCCTAACTGGAACCTTCCAGGCTAGGGGTTGCCAGGCAGCTCCACCTCCAGGCTGGGCGTGGAGCTGGGGTTTAAACTCCTCCTAAGAAAAAGAATTGTATCTGACAAGTTTTTAATCTAAAAATTTGATTGACAATAACAGCTTGTGTTCATATCATAGCAGGTCTAAGTTATCTGATGAAGAAATTCAAGAAGTCATGCACTCGTTTTCTTCCAGAGTGATACAAATTTCAAAATATTGTTATTGATGATACGCCTAATTGGTGATCTGAGGTTTTCTAGTATTAAAAGCTTCAGCCGGTCCTTCCCATCCTACCAGCTCTTAATTTGCCACAACTAGATTAAATAAGATATGATATATAATGTAAAAAAAAGATAACGTAAAAATACAACTGTACCTTTGAAAAAGAGTCTGAAGGAGTGCGTTGAGGTAGTTCATGCCTTTAATTCTAGCACTAGGAAGGCAGAGGCAGACAGATTTTTGAGTTCGAGACCAGCTTGGTCTACGGAGTGAATTCCAGGACAGCCGAGGCTTCACAGAGTAAACTCTGTCTCCGGAAGAAAGTGATGAGGATTTACTAGTTTCTATCCACACTCTAACATGTAAACACTGTCCTCAGTTAACACCCTAACTTATACTCAGCCCTAAACATAATAAAAGTGATAGCAGTGTGTGTCTGGTGCCTGAGGTCAGAAGAAGGCATCAGATCTCCTGGAACTGTAGATACACATGGTTGTGAGCCACCATGTGGGCGCTGGGAACTGAACCCTGGTCCTCTGGCATGAACAACATAGACTTTAATTGCCTGGACCCTCTCTCCATCCCCCCCCCATTTTTCTTAATAAACTTTACTCTGATACACATCTTGTAGAAATCCTCCAGCGTCTCTAAGACTCGAGATTAATTTGCTCAGTGAACTGGCGAAAAGTCAGAATAATATTAAGAGCACTTACTCTGGGCTGGAGAGATGGCTCAGGGGTTAAGGGCACTGACTGCTCTTCCTAGAGGTTCTAGATTCAATTCCCAGCATCCACATGGCAGCTAAAACTGTCTGTAACTCCAAGATCTGACACTCTCACACAAACATATGTTCAGGCAAAATACCAATGCACATAAAACAAATAAATTTTAATTAAAAAGGCACTTACTCTGTACCAAATGCTCTTCCAGGTGTTTTAGACATTATTACTTAGTCCTTATCCCAACCTATGAGGCTATTAACGTGACCATTTGATTACACAGCCTACTAAATACTGGGGCCAGTATTATATAGCAGACAATGTTTAGTCACTGCGCTTGATTGCTTTTGTAAACAGACATCTGAATTCATAAACGCATCTATTCACATCATAATGGACAGAATCATCTTGAATAACTTTTATGGCAGCAGCTCTGCCAAGAGCAGTGGAAATCCCTTTTGTTCTTTTTGGGCAACACTAAGTAGCTGGTGACAGACTTGTATACACACTCTAAATACAAGCTACTAGTTAGGTCGCCTGCTACACATTAACAGTGCTGTCATCTGAGGTGGTGGAAAGAGAGCTAATTCTGTTCCTCCTGAGTATGTATGTGCACGCGCACGCGCGCGCGCGCACACACACACACACACACACACACACACACGCATGCGTTCAATTTCTACTTTGGGCAGCATGGATTTCTTGTTCGTGGTCATTTGCATTCTTGAGTCTCTTTACTGAAGTATGATACTTTGTTGAATGCACGCCCTCTCTCCAGTCTTCATACTCTCTCATTTTCTATCTCCTAACGGCATAGATCACATATCCCTAGTCGCGGTTAGAATAAAGATGGTCCCCAGAGGCTTCTCTGTGTGAATGCTTGGTCATCAGCGAGTGGCACTACCTGAGAGCGATTACTTGTTGCCTTGTTGCAGTACGTGTTGTCACTGGAGGTGACTTTAGGGGCTCAAAGCCCAAGCCAGGCCCGCTGTCTTTCTATTCTTGCTGTCTGCGGATTTGGAAGTAGAACTCTCGGCTTCTTCTCTAGCACCACGTCTGCCTGTGTGCCAAGATGCTCACCGCAATGGTGAGAATGGACTAAACCTATGTAACTGTCAGCCAGCCCCAATAAATGCTTTCTTTTATAAGAGTTGCCATAGTCATGGTATCTGCTTACAGCAACGGAACACTGACTAAGACATCCTTCTTCTGTGACATTTCTTGGGTGCTTATTCTTCTTGACTCTAAGGGTTGTATTACCCGTTACACTATACCAGTCTAAGAAACAGAGACCTTGACTCCATGTGGCTTTACAGATTCTCAGACTTTTACCTGAGCTTAGAGTTGGGTGTGAAGAAAGAATGTCATGTATTTGTTGTCGTTGTTGTTGTGTGTGTGAGTGGGAAGGTGGGTGTGAGCACCTGTGTGTGTCTGCACCTGTGTGTGTGCATGCAGCACCCACAGCAGGACTCCAGGTGTCTTCTTCATCTTATTGCCTTGAGACAGGGTCTCTCACTAAATCAATCGAAGCCCCCTCTTGTGGCTAAGCTGGCTGGCCAACCTCCCAGGATCCACTTGTCCACCGCCCAGAACTAGAACCAACACACACAACCATACCCAACTTTTTACATGGTCATTGGGGATTTGAACTTATGCCTGCAGAGCAAGAGATTTTACCTTTTGAGCCATCTTCCCAGATCAAGAGCATCTTCCCACAGCTGGGGTTGGACATGTGGCATTCTTGAATCCGGCCAGTTCAGTATTTTTTACTATTATTTTCATTTCTACATCTGCTATCGAAACAACTGTCTGCCCTGTCTATGATGCCACCAAGGACACTGAACTGTTATTGTTGTCGCTAGGAACGAAAGCATGTAGAAAAATTCCCATTCTTTACCTGGGGCTGGAGTTAAAGAAACAACACACAATTTACTACTAAGTTTTTTGTTTGTTTATTTCCTTTTTGGAGGGAAGGACCTAGGGCAAACAGAAATACTTTAGTAGTCCTTATGGGTTGTCTAGTGTTAAAGTATGAAGATGTGTCTTTTCTCCCAAGATACTCACAAAACAAGCCCCCATCATAGGAAATGAAAACTTTGAAATAGAAAATTCCTGACAAATAGGTGTTTATGAAAAAAAACTGAGGGGGAGAAAGTTCAGTTACTGTGCAAAACAGAACTGAAATACCATTCAAATTATACATGGTTGTATTACATGTTATTTTAGCTTCAGATTCAGACCTCCTTTTGACAAATGACAGGCTTCAGCATGGTTTATATGCTTTGGGTAGGATGAAAATAATCCCTAAATAAAATCCCCATCAGACTGACAAAACATGACCTAAAAGAGGTCACAGAAAGTGGAGCGGAATGGGGGTGGGGGGGGGGGGTGGTAAAGAAAATTAAGGAGAAAGCAAAGTCAGCCAGAAACGCTGGTGGGAGCAGCATACGGAAGGAGAGAAAAAGATCTGATTCGTGGATAAAGTGCAGTTGTGTCCTCTCCCCAAACAAAATAGGAAATAAAGAAAATGTTTCCAGCTATGGTGTTTTGATCCTGAACAATTCTGTCGAGAATGAAGCAGAACCATGGCATGATTTGGGGACTGCCACTACCTGAATGCAGAGAAATACTGTGTGACAAGAGAATATTGTTGATAAAATCTTCCTAACCAGTCCCCAGTGCACTTCACCATCTCAAGAATGGCTAGGTGAAATAAACACGTACCATACAATTTAAAAACCCATTTGGGTCGGGGTGTCCGGAGAACTAGCTGCCACATGGCAGAAAGCAGAGAGCTAAGAGAGTAGGTCACCAGAAAGGTGGATTTTGGTTGGGGTTGGAGGAGTGTCTTAGTCATTATTCTATTGCTGTGAAGAGACACCATGACCAAGGCAATTCTTAGAAAGTATTTCATTGGGGGCTTGCTTACAGTTTTTGGAGGTTTAGTCCGTCATCATCACTATGGAAATCACAGAGGTATGTGTGATTCTGGAACAGTAGCTGCAAGCTACGTCCTGGATCCACAGGCTGAGAGAGAAAGAGACTGGGCCTGGCACGGGCTTTGGAAACCGCAAAGCCTATCCCCCGTGGCATATTTCCTTCAACAAGGCCGCACCTCCTAATTCTTCCAATCCTGTCAAACAGTTCCACTCCCCAGTGGACCAAGCATTCGAATATATGAGCCCAGGAGGGCCATCCATATTCAAACTACCACATTCCACTCAGAGATCCCCATAGGTTTGTAGCCATATTATAACAACAACAACAACAAAATGCATTCAGTCCAACTTCAAAAGTCCCCATAGTCTACCACAGTAGCAACACTGTTTAAAAGTCCAGTCTCTTCTGAGAGTCTTGGCAATCTCTTAATTGCAACCCCATGTAAAACAAAAATCAAAAAGCAGAACATATACTTCCAACATACACAGAATACACGTTACCATTCTAAAAGGAGCAATAGAAGCATAATACTGGACCAAAGCAAGACTGAAAACCACCTGGGAAAACTCCAAATTCTGCATCTCTCTGTCTGGGTGTTTAGATATGGTTTAACCAGTCGAAAGTCTTTATTCCAACTGGATGGGAGCACATCCAGGTATTCAGGGACCTAGATATGGTTCTGAGTGTCCAGAACATGAGCTTTTAAAGGCAGAAGACACAACCTGGCATCTCATTTGACAGCTTGGGGGAGTGGGGACAAACAGTTTAACAGAATATAAGTTAGCTAGGACACCCTGACCTTGGGTTCCTGGAACAGAGTTGGATAATTTCCCATAGGATGCTCCATCAAGGAGATCAAATTTTAGTAAAACTTGAAATGGCCTCAACAAGAATACAAGATGGAGGAAACTTTGCCCTGTCTTGACCTGTCTTCCTATCTCCAATTCCTTTCAGCTTTGTAGACTGTAACACACTTCTCTTGGGCTGGTTCCCTACCTGGCCTGTAGCTGTCCTTGACAGGTTTCCTGTGACTCTGTTCTCTCCAACATTTTGGGGTCTCCAATGCAACCCAGGCTTCACCTTCACAGCTTCACACAATGGCCTCTCTGGGCCTTCATTCAGGATCACCCGTGAAGCACACCTGGCCTCGGTGGCTT